TCATTTTCTTCACTTTCTCTCATGGAAGCCCACACCTGCATATCATCAAACACTTCCACACTCGAATCTTCAAACAAATGATGATTCGAACAACAAACCTCCCTAGCAAACTCTTCGTGTCTCTGGCAACAAAATTTCTCCAACAATTTGACTTGTTCTTTCGCTTCATCTCTCACTCGGAATAACATGGGACTTTTTAATATTAACCTCCACATGATGATCAATAGGTAGTGTCCTAATTTTCTTGAACCTTCGATTGTTAAATCCAATCCGACGTGAATTGGTTGTGTGAATCTGTTTAAATCGAATAGATCGTCACGACATTCATATTCCGAATCGGATTCATAGTGATCGGTGCATGAGCTAGCATGAGGGAAACAGTGCGTGAGGAATAGCGACATTTTTTTTAAATTGGTGTGGCAAAGTGCAATATTTACTTTAGACTATTCTATAGTCATAATGATTAAGGAAATAAATCCTCTCAAATATTGAACCTATTCAATGTTAAACCTTAAAAGCAAGTGAAGAATATCTTGAGGGAATAAAGAAATCTTCACTGTAAAAAGCCTTCAAACGTTGATTCAATAATTCCTTGAAAATCTTGTAAATTATTTTAGCATCATGATATTGATATAGTAATGAAGATTCAAACCAGCCCCAAGATTTCAAAGCTTCCATAGCTAATTCTTCATCTTCATCCTCTTCCATCGTCATTTCTCGAATCATTTGGTAAGTAAAGCAATTTCTCCTGACAAGGTTGACTAAGAAATCCCTGTCCAACAAGACTTGTTCTGGAATAAGATCAGCCAAATGACCTCCAAAAGGAGAACCAGCACACATTAAAATCACATCTAAAGACTACCCACTCTCTCTTTTTACCAGTGAGTAGTTTTGTGTATAATTATATTTTTCTGTGCTCTTTGTTGAATTTGAGAAATGAATTTTAGGTGGTGAAAAATCAATGTTGTCAATCCAACAGTCAAATTAATCATCACGATCTGCTTGTACCTCCTCACATAGCCTCACATAATCATCACAATTTTGGGCTAGTGCTTTCAATAGGTCTGGTTTGTGTTTGAGTAATCCTATTTGGACATCATTAGGTAATTTTGTCAACACGTTGATGTAATGGGTGTTACTTTTACAACTTCAGGCATGTGCTCAATAATACGATAGTCAATGTTATAATTAATTAATAGTTTGATGAATTCAGAATCAAGAAATTGTGGTAGGCTTGTCAAATTTCCTTTTTAGAGTCTATTGAAAATGCATTAAATTTGTCAACTACATTATTGTCACAATGTTGTAAATTCCAACAACAAAAAATACCACAAAACAGATCCGAAATTTACTGCCTTTTTACTGCCTTCCGAATCACGTACATACATTTTCAATAATAATAATTTAAATATCACAGGATCACTACAGTCAACATCATCATCATCATCATCATCATCATGGTCAAACACTCCGTCAAGAAACTCATTCCACTGAGTAGAGAAGAATATTGGAAAATAATATTTACTGATGATTTTGATAAATTCACAGCTCCTCTGCTCAAATTCAACAAAATTGAAACTGAAACACTTCCAAGTGAAGATGTCAATATTGTCAAGAGAACTGCCAAAGTATTTCCAGATTATGACATTCCCCATGCATTGTTGCACTTGTTAGGTCAGGAAGAATTTCACTATGTCGATCATCAGGAAAAGCATTTATTGAACTATACCATGAATAGTAATACTATGCCTCCACTGAGTCATCACGATATTCTAAAGATCAGTACTCATCAACATATTGAACCAATTGACGATCATAGTTGTTATCATGTTTTGGAAACAGAAATTCACTGTTCTGTGTTGTTACTTGGTCACTTGGTTGAGAAGGCAATTATTCATGGTGTTGAGAATGGTTATGATTTATTGCCAAAAGCCGTGGAAGCTTACATTGCTCATTTGAATTCGGAAGTAAAATAAGAAAATACTTGAATTTGAACCACTCTATTTTTAAAAAGCTATGAAAATGAATGTGCATATTTGAAATTGAAGAGGTTCATTTTCGTAAGTGAAGAAGAGGTTCAAATTCAAACAGAAGTCTGAATATGAAGCTGTGGTTGTGGAGGTTCAAATTGAAAGCAAGCAAATTTAGCTCTATTTAAACAAGCTCTCAGGTATTCTCACTCCATCAAACAAACAAAAAAAACAACAAATTAACTAACAGCTCAATATTCAAATACAGATTATTTAAATAATTACAATATGGTCAAGTTCAGTAAAGAAATACTCGAAAGACTCTTACTCGACAGTAACAAGATTCGTAACATAG